TCTGCCATCACCACCGACTCTACCGTAAGGTCCCTTCCAAGCCTCCTCCACAAACTTCCGCAGGGTCCCTTCCCGGCTTACCATTGCCAGCTCTGCTGCAGGGCCCCTTGTGAGTCTCTCAGTCTTCCCTGTTATAGCCCTTGATCTTTGTTACAGTTCTTCTAGAAGGTTCTGTGTATCTGTTCTCTCTGCTACTGCTGGCTTCTTCCTAACCTTTGTGGGATTGGTTACATATATAGGGAAACCTCTCGGCACTCAACGTTTGGCCCTTCCTCCAGGCCCAACTGACCAATCCCCTCTCCTATTCTGGTAGGACACAACACACTTCATTTGTATAGTTGCCTATATTCACTTCATTTACATAGTATAAAGTCCCTTTTTTATTTTCATAGCATATTAACCAATTCTATGCGAAATACATACTAATCACAGGCAGGCTGCAACCCAGGGCCAGACCCAAACTATCAAGTCACAAGTTCCTTAAAGTTACCCAGGAAATGTCAATCAACCAGGGCAAAAGTAGCAAAGTCTGTGGGGTGGAAATTTAGGGCAAAGGTAGCTCTTAAGGGCTTAGGAGAAGTCTTTTGAACTGGTTTTCTAAAGAACAAGGTAAAAGGCCACATAAGGGAATTCATTTCACCATGTACGGCTTAGGTTTTTAAGAAACGTCTACACCTACTAGTTAACAAGTATCATAGTACCCAGCATCTCACATTGTCAGCAATAGTAAAAGTCTGTCTGACCATAGTTTGTGCATTATCGATGTACGGTCTGGCAGTGGTGACCTCTAGGTGCGAGGCAAGGGTAATGCTGACTGTGAAGGTTAAGGTTATGTGTTACCTCTGCTAGGCCGTGATTCTCAGTGATTTCACGATGTAACTTGTCAGTTATGTAAGGACCTAATCTCCTTGTTGGGTTCTGACGTGGTCGTCCATTTTCACATAACACTGGTCTTTGCATGATGACCTAGTCTTTGGAACTTAACCATGTGTGTATGGTGAGGACTGGAGTAAGTGAATTTCTAGAGAACTGGAATTAGGGTCTTTGTCAATGAGAAGAGATGAAGCATAGCTTGCAGTGTGATCGATTTTTATGAAGAAGTTTTGTGTGAGTCCTCCATCATGCGTGCTGACCTCTGTAGGCACAGTCACATTCTTTCCTCTGATGTCTCTGCTGGATTCCTGCCGTTTTCCCAGCGCACATTCACTCTGACCTTTGCACTTTCTCTTCTTGGCTGGTGTGTGTGTCCCCAAGTGCACCTCACTTCAGAATCCCACATGGCAGGCCCATGCTCAGCACAATACCATCTTGTACCCATTCTATTCTGATCAGCAAATCTGATGTTCACGCACGCTCCCTCCCCTGCACCCCGTGTCTCTCCTTGATTTCATTAGCCTACGTATATTGTGTTCTGAGCCTGTGAACAATCAACAGTCCACCTCAGAGGACATCTGGCATTGCCTGGACACAATTGTACAAGAACAAAATCCTCCAAGTCTGTTCTCAGTACATTCAGAGAGTTTTATTAATAGCAAAAGAACCTTTTAATAAAGTGTTCCAAGAAATTACAGAGTTAATCAGAGATTAATAAAGGAAAACTGGAGTGTTTTTGATTGGTTTACATTTACAGAGTCCCAGCTGCCAGGATTTGGGTGGATCACCTCTGCACAGGATAGTTTTATTTGTTACCATGCTCTAGGTGACAGGATTTTAATTAACCAATAAGATTGTTGTTGTTAAGTACCGTCGAGTCGATTCCAACCAATAGCAACCCTGTGTAGACTTTCTGAGGAGCGACTGGTGAGCTTGAACCACCGACCTTGCAGTCCAGCTCATTAACCTGCAGCGCCATGGCAGGACTCCAAACCACTAAGATTACATGTGCTTTTTTGTTTTTGTTTTTTTTTTGCATTTAGACAGTTACAGGCTGTGTTAAACTGAGTGACTTCAGCATTATGATGGTGAGTTCTGTTGAAATAATGTAATAATGTTCTGTTGAAGGAACCGGATGGTTACAAGAAAAACTACCAAGTTTTCTAATGCTCAAAGAGAGACAAAGGATTTTGATACAGGAAAGTGATACTTGTCTTTATTTTACATTCGCTTGTGGCACTGTGGGTTAATGCCCCAGATACAAAGCCATTTGAACTGTAAGGTCGGTGGTTCAAGCTTACCAACCGCTCCTCAGAAACCCTATACAGGGTCGCTGTGGGTTGGAACTGACTCGACTGCACTTAACAACATTTTAATCATAAGTTGGGACAGTCAGAACACAGCTTTGGAAAATTACACACACAGTTGAGATTTTAAAGGAGGATATTTTCTTACAATTGCCTTAGTTACCAAAGTTGCCTGTTTAATACAGTATTTAACACATGGATAAGTTGAACAGTGTTTTAACATTGGTTATTTCCAGACACAAGCTCATCTATAAGTAGAATTGTTGTTGTGAAGTGCTGTCGAGTCGATTGTGACCCATAGCGACCCTGTATAGGGTTTCCGAGGAGCAGCTGGTGAGCTTGAACCGCCACCTTGCAATTCGAATGGCTTTGCAATCCGGCGCATTAACCCACAGCGCCTCACCAGGATTCCGTAAGTAGAATAGGGTGGGTAAATGGCATTTTTCTGTAGAAATTCCTTGTATTTCAATAAAAATTACTATGTTTTTTTTTAATAGAAATGACAGCTTGTGTAGTATGACAGAAAAGTCCGACACGGAGACACTTAGGACGTTAGTCAGAAGTTTCATTTGTCTTAAGAGCCTTAGTTTTGAAATGCTGTTTCTCACATGTTCCCTTTTCTTTTTTGATTGTTTTCACAATTCTTGTAGCATTTACAGTGTGAGGATTTTTCATTTGTATAGTTTAGCGACATCAGTTACATGGATCGTGTTTAGCAGCCATTATGGGTATCCGATACCAACTTTTCCATCACTGTAAGCAGCATGCCTTCTGCCAGTGAGCCATGTCTGCTTCCAGTACCCCGTAGAGGGGAGTGGAGTCGGGGTGCGGTGCTGGGGAGGAGCCCTGTGTGAGCTGCCAGATTGGATTGAACAGATTTAACAACTACAGGACTGAGTAGAACTCCATAGGAATTCAAGACTTCAAATCTTTATCAGAATAAACAGCTTCATTTGTATCCTCAGGCAGCTGGTGGGTTTGAATTGACAACCTGGCAGTTAGCAGCCCAATGCTTTACCCATAGCATCACCAGCGTTCCACAACTGCTTCCTGAACAATATTTTCCCTGAACTTGGTTCACGTCCTGGTATCTGAGCCTTCCTTTGGCCATTGACCCTGTCTTAGTGTCTTCATCACCACATCTGGCACTATGTGTTAGACAGCAGCTAGCAGAAGACCGACCGGCTCCCAGGTGCTTGGCTCTGAAGGAAATTCATTCTCTCACCTACTGAGAAACTCCAGTTGGAGCTAGCTTCCGGGTTGGTGGATGTTTCCTCTCCTTGTCCCGAGTTGCAGGATGCTTCAGGGTACATAATTTGCAAGTTGAAGAGGCCAGCGCTTTTCAAACCTTCCTGGGTGTCAGAGTCATCTAACGGGTTTGAAAGTCTACCACTTTCCAGATCTCTGCCTCAGAGAAAGGATTTCAGTAGTGTGACACCCAACGGTGCCGGTGGGTTTTCTGCTCCAGATTGCGGCCTGCTGACTGGGATCAATTAGAAAACACCTTTCAGAAGGAGGATGTCATTGTCCACAGCTCAGCTGTCCTGCCTCCACTGCCATATATAAGGGTACTTCAAAAAGTTCATGGAAAAATTCCATTATCTTTTGCTTCTGTCTTTCCACAAGCTTTTTGAAGTCCCCCTCACATGTGACAGTCTGTTCCTGAGCTCACTCTTCTTTTTCATTGCCAGTCTGTCTTGAGTCTAGGTCAGTGCCACAGTGCCTGATGGCCACCTTACCCAACATGGTAAATCTCCATCCAAATTCTTCCTGGGGGATATATTTGGCTATATTCTTTTTCATATACATTGTAAAATGAGGCTGTTAAATTCTAGGATAAACCCTGTAGGATTATACATGAAGTTGTATTCGGTTTGTTTATTGTTTTGGGTTTTATTATTATTGGTATTTGTGTAATATTTACAATACATTGGGTGTTATATTATTATTGCACCTTTATATTATCTTCATTCATATAATTATTCTTTAATGTCTTCATGTAACATGTTATATTTTCTTTTTTTTTTTGGTAACAACTCTAAGAGGTTGTTACTCTTATTTTGCCCATTTTGTGGATGAATAAATAGAAAGATCCAGTAACTTTCCCTGGGCACTATCCTTTGCTTCTTCACTTTAGAATTTTTCTGCCAGTCCAGTTTTTGGTTACTTGTATTACTCCATTTGGAAGGAGAGTATTTATTATGATTCAGACGTCTATTTTGGCTTCACCCAGCGAGTGTTATTCTCATTGGCCTCAAACATGTCCACCCAGATCCTCTTCAGGCTTGTCTTACGTTTGAGCCCTGACTGGGGAAGGAAGTGGCAGCGCTCACAATCGTCCAAGTCAGAACCTCGGGAATCAGCTTTCCTGTCTTCTCTTAGCAGCACCCCCCTTTCCACATGCACTCTTATCCGGCACCTGAGCCCTCCGCAGGGACACCTGTGAAACACCTTCTGTAGGAAGTATCCTTTGATCTTTTTCTGTGTCACCTCTAGAACTGCAGTGGGTGCTTCTTCCTTATACCCCCAGAGACTTTGAGATGTCCTTGTTGAGCACAAGCTTACCACCCATGGTGTGATTACACCTGTGTCCACGCACAGCCTGTTGTGGACGGTGAGAAGGGCGTATCCCTGTCTCACTCGCTCACGCGGAATTCCCTTCCCAGGTGGGAGTGAAGCCGGAACTGGCAGACCTCGAGTTCAGCAGACACTAAGGCACTCTTCCGACTTGGTTTTCTCACTGAAGTGGTGGATTGCTTTGTTCTGTGTTAGCACTTCTAATAGGCCTTTTTGTATGTTTTGTGTCTTTCAAGGGACAAAGTAAAACTTGAGATGACAGAGCCAACCACTCCTGCACCAGTCTTATCTGAGGGAGCCTCAATCCAAGGACAACTGAAGCAGGGAGCCTCCAAGGACTCCCAGGTAGGGCAAGTCAGGCCCCAGAAGGGGCCATCAGAAATGCAGCACTACCACCTGAGAACAGACATGGACCCCCAGGAGGAACCGCTCCCTGTGAAAATGAGCCCTGAACATGGTGCGCACGATGATCTGGGGACAGGTGATTGTGCTTATTCAAAGCCTCTGCAGGAACAGGTCCCTCCAGGACATGTTCTCCATGATGGGGGTTCACCTGGACCAGCTAAAGATGGTGTGACTCATGATGAGAGGCCTTCCTACGTCTGCAAGGAATGTGGCAAAGTGTTTAACAAGAGACACCTCCTGGTTCAACACGAGCGGGTGCACTCTGGCGTGAAGCCCTACGCGTGCACAGAGTGTGGGAAAACCTTTAGCAAGAGCACAACCCTCCTTCAACACCACGTCATCCACACTGGGGAGAAACCCTATAAGTGCACAGACTGTGGGAAGGCCTTCAACCAGAGGGCACACCTTACACAGCACCACAGGATCCACACCGGGGAGAAGCCCTACGTGTGCAGTGAGTGTGGGAAGGCCTTCACCCACCGCTCCACTTTCGTCTTGCACAAGAGGAGCCACACTGGAGAAAAACCTTTCGAGTGCAAGGAGTGTGGGAAAGCCTTTCGTGACCGGCCGGGCTTCCTGCGACACTATACGATCCACACCGGAGGAAAGCCCTATGAATGCAGTGAGTGTGGGAAGGCCTTCAACCACAGGTTCCAGATTACACGGCACCAGCGGATCCACGCCGAGAAGAAACACTACGAATGTGTCGAGTGTGGGAAAGACTTCAACTACAGGTCTTCCCTGGCACAGCACCAGCGGATCCACACTGGAGATAAGCCCTATGCGTGCACAGACTGTGGGAAGGCCTTCAGCCAAAAGCCGCATCTCACCCAGCATCAGCGGATCCACACCGGGGAGAAGCCCTATGAGTGCAGTGAGTGTGGGAAGACCTTTGCCCACCTCTCCACTTTTATCTTGCACAAGAGGAGCCACACAGGAGAAAAACCTTTTGAGTGCAAGGAGTGTGGGAAAGCCTTTCGTGACCGGCCGGCTTTATTCCGACACTACAGCATCCACACCGGAGAGAAGCCGTATGAGTGTGTTGAGTGTGGAAAAGCCTTCAACCGCAAGTCCCACCTCACTCAGCACCAAAGGACCCATCCTGGGAGAGGCCCTGTCGGTGTGACGGACGTGGGGAGACCTCTCACGAGTGGGCACACCTTGCTCAACATCCAAGGATTGCTACTGGGAACAGACTCTTTAAACGTAACAACCGCGGAAAATGTTTGGTCGGAGGAACCCTCTTACTCAGCATCTGATCGTTCATGCCACAGGGAGAGCTCACAAGTGCCATCCCTGTGAAGAAGTGTTCTGTCTGTCACAGATTAGTCATTGTCATCTAAGAGTTAGGTAGATATCGATCTGCCTAGAGTCTGATGCTACATCTGACCATCGCCCAGGAATGAGACCCAGTGGTCGCTGTGCACCCAGGAACACCTTGTACCATGTCTTTCTTGGTTTACTCTGCATTTTCATCTCAGGAGTATGTAAACTAAGAATGGGGAGATAGAGGAGCATAGATAAGGAAAAGAAATGGAAACACCTCATTTTGTAGAGTTCCCAGCCAAACTTGCTCCATCTGTCATTGATTCTGTATTTGAGCATAAAGTAGTTGTTTTATTAGAATTTAAAGAGCCTCATCCCTGCTACGCAGTGCCAGTGGAGTTTGTTTAAGGCAGCTGTGAAGCAATTTGTTGACATCCTTTTTTTCTTTTCCAAAATTGTTCTACCCTCGAGGTACATAAGTCTTTATGAGAAATAGGAAGGCTTAAAGTTGTGCAATAGTTGTTATTTAAGGAAATAAGGTTCCACATACAAATGGCTATATTTTAAGAAAGCAGTTTAATATCGTTCAAATTGCCATTAGCCATCAGAGAGATGCAAATTAAAACCACAATTCACCATTTTACTCCCATTAGGAGGGCTACTGTTGGTAAGTATGTGGGGAAATTGGAACCCTTATCCATTGCTGGTGGAAATGGAAAACGGTGCAGTTGTAGTAAGCAGTATAGGAGTTCCTCAAAACAACTAAAATTGTAATTATGTGATCCAGCAATTACTCCCATAAGCGATTATCCAGAAGACTTCTAAGCAGACTCAAAAGAGACATAGAACAGTGTTCATTCAGCATTGTGGCTGGAAGGTGTAAACAACCTACATGACCATTAAAAGATGAATGGATAAATAAAATGTACTTGCAGACAATGGAATACTACTCAACCAGTAGGAGAAATCAAGTCTTCAAATTTGCTACAATATGGATGGAACTTATTATATACATGACACTGAGTGAAAAAGCCAATTACAAAAGGACAAATATTGTATGATCTTAATTATATAAAAAGACAAGAAAAGGCCAGTGTATAGAGTGCGCATAGTTTTATTACAGCTTCTCAGAGACAGGAGGAGAGAAAGGCAGTTAAAGGTGGTGGGGAAAATCACAGAGTGGTGCTTGGGTAGCCGATTATTGTAATTGTTGTCAAGTTGTACACCTGTGATAAGTTGGCAAAAGTTGTGTGATATATTTACAACAATGACCAAAAAAACAACAACAAAGCTGCTGAGGCTGTGTATGTACAACCAAACACTTCAGGGATTTGCTTTTTAGACTAGGAAGTTTAAGCCAAAAGGGTTTCATGGGGCATCCCAGTTCACTGGCTCACCAGCATGTTTAATGCTGCTGGCCCGTGTCATAGTTCAGTGTATAGAGCCTGGGGTTTTAAAAGCTTGCAAGTGATCATTCAAGGAACCAAAATTGTTCTGTGTTCACCTGGAGGAACAGAGGGAGGAAGATTGAGTGTGTGGTTAATTGTCTCCATGAATAATTGCCTCCTTTGCCATGACACCAGAACTGGGCAGTGCCTAGTTACTGTCCAGAACATTTTGGTCAAAGATTCTATAAAAGAATCCTGATCAAAAAGGAGGAACTGCAGAACAGAATTTGAAATTCTCATGGACTCTGGATTTTCTGGAGCCATGGAGGGTGGATGAACCCCTGTAAGTATCTCCATGAGATAAAATGGAGTCCCAGTGTGGTCCTGTAGGAGAAGCACTGGACTGCTAAGGGAAAGGTCAGTGGTTCAAACCCACCAGCTGCTCCATGGAAATTCTATACAGCATCCTTGTGAGTCAGAACCAACTTGAGGGACTTAACAGCAAATCAAAAGCATCCTCTCTGGTCATCTTAAAACTGAACAACAGTCTGGCTTAACTAGTTTAAAAAAAAAAAAAAAAGTCCAGACTTGAACATTATGCTTTTAAAGAACTATATGGGATCAAATTGACAACAGTGGAAAGGTAGGAACCTCTGAGGAATAACTCAGAAAAGGCAAATGAGTGGTTACATAAGTCAAATGTGATCAATGTAACTAAATTGTAGAAACTATTGATGGATGTTTTGCTGTGTATATTCTCAACAAAATAAAATTCCGTAGGATAAAAAAGGGTCTCATTAACTGCTTGCTATAGCATATATAATTTTAAAACAAAAAGTAAAAACCAAACTGTGGGTCCAAATGCATGTATTTAGGCATATATGTGGTAAATGTGAGTATGTGTTGTTAAGACTCCTAGTGACACTGTCTAGAGTTTCAGAGGAGCGGCTGGTGGGTTTGAACTGCTGACTTTGCAGCTCAAACTGACCTTGCAGTCCAGTGCATTACCCTGCAGCGCCACACCAGGACTCCATGTATGAGTGTAGATATTCCGACTCGTAGCAACCCCATGCACAACAGGAAGGAACACTGCCTGGCCCTTTGCCGTCTTTGTGCTTGAGCTCACTGCTGCCGCCCCTGTGCCAGTCCATTGTGTTGGGGGTGAAATTCCTCTCACTTTACCGAGCATGATGTCCTTCTCCAGGGACTGGTCCATCCTGTTAATGGGTGAAGTACGAGGGACAAAGTCTCGCCAACTTGGCTTTTCAGGAGTGTCCTAGCTGTTCTGGTGTGGCGCTCCTCGGAAACTATACAGGGTCGCTATGGGTTGGAACTGACTCGATGGCACTTAACAGCAACTGGCTGTACTGCTTCCAACACAGATTTATTCTGGCACTTCCTGGTACCTTTTACTAGTCTTCAACACCATAACTCAAATGCATCAGTTCTACAGTCTTCCTGATATATTCAACTTTCACATGCATATGAGGTTATTGAAAATACCGTGACTTGGGTCAGGGGCACTTTAGTCCTCAAACTGACATCATTGCTCTTGAACACTTTTAAGGAGGTCATGTGCAGCAGATCTACTTAAAGCAATACGTTGTTTGGTTTCTTGGCTGCTGCTTGCGTGAGTGTTGATTGTGGATCCAAGCAAAATGAAGTCTGAAAATGTCAGTCTTTTCTCCATTTATCATGCTGCTGTGGGGATCTTTTTTTTCTCTTTATTTTGAGGTGCAATCCATAACAGCTACTGTAACTTCCAACTTAATCTTGATTCCATATTCTTCCCTAATTAACCACTTAACTGTAAGTATGGTCTATGAATTCTGTGTGGCCATAGTAATTATTGAACTAGCTAGAGGCCCTAGACAGGGTTGTTATGAGTGGGAATCTACAGCACCTAACAATACCAACAGGACCAGAACCTTTTTATTCCTTCTATGTGCTTTCTGCCTGTCACCTTCTGTGCGGCTGGTTGCATATATACACGAACTCATCTATTTCAAACTGACCAATCCCTTCTTGGTAGGTCACATATACTTCATTTGCATATGACACTGTGCTCTCTTAATTTATATAACCTGCTCATTTCTGTAACTGCTTCACCGTGCAAGGGGCATACTATTCATAGGGCAGGGCAGGCTGAATCCCAGGGCCCAACAAAGCATATCGAACCACAAATAATTTACTGCTTATGGAAGAAATGTCAGTGAAAGCCTCTTGATAGTGTAAAGTTTACTCATTAGGGCTTACTGGAATCATTTCTCAAGCTATTTAGCTTAAAGCACCACATAAAGGAACTAATTTCACCACACTCAGCTTAAGACGGACTTATTTTTTGAGAACAGAAATTATGAGTATGCTCTTTTTCAATAAGAAGAGATGAAGCAAGACTGGAAAAGAGTAGATAGTTTTGCTGGTCTCCTTGTGCAAATTTGATACTGTTTGCCCCCAAGCGCAGTCTGCTCCAGCAATGTGGGGTTCTCCACTTAAGCTCTTTACACTCACTCATTGGTCCGGACTCTCCAGCATTTTAGAATTTCACAGCCTGGCACCTTCTCAGCACGATACCACCTTTCCCTCAGCCGTATGCTGATCACCAAATCGAATCTAAACCCCTACCCTGTGACGTGTCTTTTCTCTCATCATAGTTTTTAATGTTGTTCTAAACCAGTGGTTCTTAAAAGAGATGATAATACCTCCAACCCTGGGGACATTTGGCAATGTCTGGAGACTTTTTTTTGGTAAATATTTACGTAGCATTTGATGATTTTAAAGGGCAGCTCAAGAAGACAAAGTGTTTTAATGAAATGTGCAAAGACCTAGAGTTAGAAAACCAAAAGGGAAGAACACACTCAACATTTCTCAAACTGAAAGAACAGAAGGAAAAGTTCAAACCTTGACTTCCAATATTGATGGGTCCCATGGGCCAAATACTGAAGGATGCAGGAAGCATCAAAAGAACATGGAAGACACAGTCACTGTACCAAAAAGAAATGGTCAATGTTCAACCATTTCAAGAAGCAGCATATGATCAAGAGCCAGTGGTACTGAAGAAGTCCAAGGTGCACTAAGGCATGGGCAAAGAACAAGGCTCCGGGATTAATGGGATACAAATTGAAATCTTTCAACAAACTGATGAAGCGCTGGGGGCACTCACTCAAATCGATGCCTACGACAGGAAGAGATCCTTATCTTGCCCATTCCAAAGAGAGGAGACCCAGTGACATGCGGAAATCATCAGGCAATATCATTAATATCACATGCAAGTAAAATTCTGCTAAAGTAATTCAGAACCTGCTACAACAGTACATTAAATTATGTTTAAATTCTTACATGAATCTTTTAAAACCTCTGTGATAGTTAAGGTTTTGTATCAACGTGACCGTTCCAGGATTCTCTGGTTTGGCAGTTGAGATGTAGTTAATACAGTGGAATTAACGCTATGATGAGTTTTGTTATAAGCAGCTAACCAAGTGAAAGAAGATTCCTTGGGAGTATGGTATACTCCCACTATATTAGAAACTCGGGCAAAGGCTGTTTGGGCTGCTTCCGGGTTCATTCGGACTAATGTAGGTTTTCTCCTACACTCATTTGGTACTCTCCATCCAGTGTAATTTAAGACTGTAAGGTTCCAATTCTGTTTACACCTCCAATTCTGTTTACAACAATGTACCAAAGTGCATTCATATGCGAAACTATCATCTTAATCTAGTTAATTTGGGGTTTCACAGACATTTTAAACTGACCATGTTGAAAACTGGAGTCCTAAACCTGCAGTCTCCTTGCCCAGACAACACTTCTGGTACGTTCTTTACGAGGGCATTACGCAGACATGAAGTCCGGGTTGAGAACCCACTGAGGGGCTGTGTTGTCAGTGCCTTAAGTCTGTTCCGACTAGGAGAGACCCTGTATAGGGTTTCCGAGGAGCGGCTAGCTGGGTTTGAACCGCCGACCTTGTGTGGTTCGCAGGGTCCGTGGAAGAGATAAAAGATGAGGAGCGGGCAAGGGGAGTCGGGGGGAGAGGAGAGCCTGATTCTGCCGTTTTGCAAGTACCACAGTGGTTAGTGTTGACCGCTCTAGTGGTTAGTGGTTCAAACCCGCCAGCTGCTCTGAGGGAGGACGATGAAGCTTTCAGCCCCTGTACAGATTTATAGTCTTGGAAACCCTAAGGAGAAGTTGCTATGAATCGGAATTCATCCTGCCGAGGCTAGGATGGCTGTACACCGGCTCCTTGTTTCCTACACTGTGCCCCTTGTCAAGAGGCGCTGGGACCACTACAAATTGGCGTGGTAAAGCATACTTGGAAAGTGGCCACACGATAGGCAGGATGGGTGGAAACGACTACGTTCCCCAGAAGTCTGCGCGTCCTACGTCTGCGTTTGTCGTTCGGCCAATGATGGCGAAATACAGAAACGTCATTTGCGTGTCAGCTCGTGGGGGCGGAACTTCCAGCCTTTAGAGGTACACGCCATCTGAATGCGACGGTTTTCCTCGCACAACCTGGGGAGGGGTTTGCCGCCCCCCTCACAGTTGACCTGGTCAGCTTTGTGGGAGCCGTGGCCCCCTCCGTTAACGGGTGTCTCCTCGGTCATTGGGTTCCCTGTTGCCGCCGCACCTGTCTACCATTTCTGCAGCCTGGGAGGCGACCCCTGGCTCTGTCTGCCCCCTTCACACGAGTCCGCCGAGGCCACCTTGCCCGGGCAGCGGACTCCGCTGAGCTTCGGGAACCTCCAGAATCGCTTTGTCCACTGGGTCCACGATGGGCGCGCGGCGGGTCCTGACGCAGGTCAGTGGAGGAGGTATATGGAATTGCGTCTCCATTGGGTAGGAGAGGGCTTGTGGACGGGCCGGAAGCCGAGCAAGTTGCTGGTTTTTATTCACGGCAAGTGGAGCTGATTTACCAATTGGTTTATCCCCAGCCCCAGAGGAGTGTCAGCGACCCATGGTGGGAGTGCACACGGTGGTTAAGTGAGCCGTTTGAGTCCATCCTGCAGCTCCGCGGAAGAAAGGCCTGGCGGTCTGCTCAGCCGTCTGCTTTCAGCCTATTTTGAACTGATAGTCACAGTCGTGTCCGTGTCGTCAGGTAGTGCACGAAACTGTTTAGCACACTGCCCGGCCCCTACAGTAAGTGGCGCAGCAAAAACTTTGTCATTAGTAATATTCTTGTCATGATTATCGTCGTAATAACAGCTCACGTTTCCTTGTGAACTGTGAGGACAAAAGACCTTTTCCCCTTTCCCAATTATTGTCTCTCACTATTCTCTGCCTCTTAGCTTTCCCGCCTCTGGTAACCATCAAAGAATGTCTCTTTCAGTGGTTTGTTTTTGTTTTTTAACTTTTTCACAACAGTGGTCATATACAATATTGGTCCCTTTGTGACTGACGTATTTCACGCAGTATACTATAACCTCCAGGTTCGCCCATGTTGTAAGGTGTCTCATAGATTCACCATCCGTCATTAGTGTTGTATGATATGTCATTGGGAGCGCCAGTGGCTCCATAAATCAAGCCCTGAATTACGAACCAGGGGTCGGTAGTTCAGCTGCTTCGTGGGAGAACGCTGTTTAGCCCACTGTCCCGGCAAAGGTTACAGTCTCAGAAACCCCATGTGGGGCCGTTGTGACTTGGAACCGACTTGGTAGCACTTCACACAACAACATAAGCCTGAGTTTCTCTAGAGAACTTACAAAGAGCGTACTGGATGTTTTCCTTAGCCTCACAACCACCCTTTACAGCAGGCTCCATTTTTATCCCTATGACTTGGAAGGGAAAATGCAATTTAGGGAATTTGAGTGTGCGTAGAGCTGGAAATTGACGCTGAGATGTTTGTCCAGTGATCAAGTGACCCTGCTCTTTATGGTGGAGTGTACAGATTTAGGTGAGTCATGAACTGTGGTTTATAATGCATTACAGTCCTTGGTATATAAATGGTCATGGTGGTTATGCACCATCGAGTCGGTTCCGATGGTTCCGATACAAAAGCCGCAAATCATTACAGGAGCAGAAAGCCTCCTCTTACTCCCACGGAGTGGCTGCTAGATTCAACTGCCGATTTTATAGTTAGCAGCCCACTCAAAACCCACTATGTTCCCGGGCTTCTCTGGTCTATGAATTGGTTGGTTGTGTTAAATTAGACTCGACAGTTAGTTCCACCTCATAGAAACCCTGCGTAGGTTTTCTGAGAGGGTAAATCTGTTCAGGCGCACAAACCCTTTTCTTGCTCTCACGGAGCCTTGCGGTTAGCAGCCCAGCTTGTAATCCACTAACTCGACTCATTATTTATAATTCACCCATTCTTTTTTGAAAAGTATATCCGGAACGTCTCTTAACCCAAGAATGAAAACATTACTACATATTCCCCATAGCTCTACGAATGTGCGTCTCTCCTTCCTATCCCAGTTCTTTCAGAGAGATAACACTTTGCCTGAATTAGGAGTTCCAGCCCTTTTCTGTGAAGGTTTTTATATATACATTTAGCTTATTTATTAGGTCTAGATTTATCCAAGTTTTTTGTTTTTAAAGTGGCCAGTCCATTACTTTCCAAGTCGTTTTTTGCTATATTCTTTTAGAGGATAAGCACTGGACTTGTAACTGCAATGCCAGTGGTTCACATCCACCAGTCACTCCTCAGAAACCCTATACAGGGTCTTTATGAGTCGAAACTAACTCGATGGCATCTAACAACAATTCCTTTGGAAGTCCTGGTGGCTCAGTTAAGTGCCCAGCTGCTAACCTACAGGTCAGTAGTTCTAATCCATCAGCTGCTCCAAGTTTCTGTAAAGAATGCAGAGTAGGAAACCGGTGGGACCGAGCTGTTCCGTCGTGTAGGTTTGTTCCGAGTTCGGGCTGACGTGCTAGCATGGAACAGTGTATTCTTGTCCTTTGCACAGCATCTCATTGATTTTAGTTTTTCATTCTCACAATCAGTGCTGCCACGAACATTCACATACATGTGTACACCCACATACATCTGCTTTTCTTTTGATGTTTCTGGGAGGGGTATTGTTAGATTATCACTTTATTTCCATTGTTCTATGGTATCATGCTAAGTTTCTCTTCCAGTAGGAGCGTGGGAAAGCTTCCATTGATTCGTTTTCTAATACTAGAATTTATCAAGTTCCTTAATTCTTTCCCAAGCAAACAAGCTCCAAATGGTATCTCCTGTGGTTTTGATTTGCAATTTCTCACTGCTAAGGAAATCTTTCTCTCCTCATGGTTTTTAGCCAGTCTCTCATCTTTGAATTGTCAACTCATGATAGTTGCCTCTTGGCCGTAAGGTGCCCTCCCTGAGAGCAGACTCACCACATGCAGTGTCCTTGCCCCTTGTCCATTGACTGTTGTGGACTCTGAGAAGGGCTCTTCTCCTCCTGACCTCCCTCCCAAGCTGGAAAAAGAGGCAAGGACTAGGAAAGAAAGAAATGGAAAAAAGATACCAAAAGACATCAGGCATAGAGCTACTACTTCCATCTGTATGTTCTCAAGGAGCTCTGATAGCGTAGTGGTTACGAGTCAGGCTGCTAACCCCAACTCAGCAGTTCGAAACTACCAGCGGTTCCGAGGGAGAAAGATAAGGCTTCCTGCTCCCGCAAAGATTTACAGCCTCAGAAACCCTGTGCAGGGTTGCTATGAGTTGGTACCAACTCCACGGCACACCACCACCACCACCATTTTCAATGAGGTGGTAATTTGGTTTTTTTCTATGTTGGCATTGCTAATAGGCCCTTTTGAATGTCTTTCAGGAGCCAGTACAAGACTTGAGCTCACAGAGCCAACTACTCCTGAGCCAGGCTTGTTTAATGGGGCTTCAGTCCGGGGACAAGTAACCCAAGAAGCCTCCAGGGACTCCCAGCTGAGGTGAGACGGGTCAACAGGGGCCACCAGAACCACAGAACCTACACATGAGACCAGGGATGGACACCCAGAAGGATCAGTGCCCTGGGAAAATGAGCCCTGAACACGAATGTGTGGATGTGGGTGATGGCGCATGCTCAAAGATTCTCCAGGAAGAAGTTTCTCCAGAAGCTGTTCTCCCTGACGGAGACATCATGGCTCACAAAGACAGAAATCCCTGTGTTTGCAAGGACTGCGGGAAAGCGTTTAACAGGAGACACCTCCTGCTTCAACATGCGCAGGTTCACTCTGGAGTCAAGCCCTACGCGTGCACAGAGTGTGGGAAAACCTTTAGCAAGAACACAAACCTCCTTCAACACCACGTCATCCACACTGGGGAGAGGCCTTATGCATGCACACAGTGCGGGAAGGCCTTCAGCCTGAGGTCTCACCTTGCACGGCACCAGCAGTTTCACACCGGGGAGAAGGCTTACGAGTGCACACAGTGTGGGAAGGCCTTCAGCCACAGATCACACTTTGCACAGCATCAGCGGATTCACACTGGGGAGAGGCCCTACGCGTGCACAGACTGTGGGAAGGCCTTCAGCCGCAATTCATACCTTACACGGCACCAGTGTCTTCACACTGAGGAGAAGGCCAATCAGTGCAGTGAGTGTGGGAAGGCCTTCAGCCGCAGGTCACACCTTGCCCGGCACCAGCGGATCCACACTGAGGAGAAGCCCTATGCCTGCACAGACTGTGGGAAGGCCTTCACCCAAAGTGCACACCTCGCACAGCACCTGAGGATCCACACCGGGGAGAAGCCCTATGAGTGCAGTGAGTGTGGGAAGACCTTTGCCCACCTCTCCACTTTTGTCTTGCACAAGAGGAGCCACACAGGAGAAAAACCTTTTGAGTGCAAGGAGTGTGGGAAAGCCTTTCGTGACCGGCCGGCCTTCATCCGACACTACAGCATCCACACCGGAGAGAAGCCGTATGAGTGTGTTGAGTGTGGGAAAGCCTTCAACCGCAAGTCCCACCTCACTCAGCACCAAAGGACCCATCCTGGGAGAGGCGCTGTCGGTGTGACGGACGTGGGGAGACCTTTCACGAGTGGGCAGAGCTCAGTAAACATCCACGGGTTGCTCTTGGGGACGGATTCATTCACTGTAACTACTCAGGACACTCATTGGTCGGAGGAATCCTCTTACTCAGCATCTGATCGTTCATGCCACAGGGAGAGCTCACAAGTGCCATCCCTGTGAAGAAGTGTTCTGTCTGTCACAGATCATGACTTGTCATCTAAGCCATTTTAGAAATTGATCTGCGTGGAGACTGATTGAACTTCTTAGACTTCATCGAGGAAAGAGACTCAGTGGTCACTGTTCATTTAAGAAACCCTTCAACCCTATGTGTCTTAGTTTAGCCTTGTTATTCTCTCAGGGATCTGTAAAACAAAGATGAGGAGGCTGCTAAAACGAATTGCTTCCTCATGCACTTTAATGGCCCAACAGTCATTTCTTATTTTTTCAATGGTAATTTCTTTTTTTCTTTTTTTCTTTGGCATGTGGGTGATAGTGGAGCCGTGTAATCCTTGTTGTTGTTGTTAAGTACCATTGAGTCGATTCTGACCCACAGCGACTTCTGTGTAGGGTTTCCAAGGAGCAGCTGGTGAGCTTGAACCACCAAGTTTGCCGTTCAAACGACTTTGTAGTCTGACGCATTAGCCCACAGAACCACCCCAGGACTCCAAAAATTCTTTCCTCTCATGGGGATTTCTCATCTTCTTTAGAGTTCTGTAGAGAAACTTCTCGACCGTGACAATTTAAAGGGGTTAAATTACAGTTGAAATACATAGTTAAGTTAAATGATCATGATAAACTCAGAAAAACACAGAAGGAATTTTGTTTTTCAGCTTATCAAAGAATTTGTGAGGACTTTAACAAGACTGGAATTTTAACAAGTCAGGATGTGTACGTGCACCTATGTGTGGCTATCACAGTAACCATCGACTTGGTCTCCTGGTGCTGTCTTTGTTGTTGTTAAGTGCTGTCGAGTCGGTTTCCACTATAGCCACCCTGTAGAGTGTTTCCGAGGAGATCCCTTGTGCGTTTGAACCGCCCACCTTGTGGTTCAAAGTTCAGTGCTGATCCTACAACCATGCAATCTTTAGGCGGGGAATTTGGTGATTCCTTCATTTGAGCTTTATTTTAAAGCTACATTCAATAATCATTGTTAAGTCTTGTTAAAAATATATTGTCCACACGTTAAGAAATAAACATGTACTCAACATTGAACCCTTATAATGACACATGTGGTTTTGCATTGCCATTGTGAGCAGAAACTAGTCTGTGTGATTCGTTGTTGCTGTGGTTAGGTACTGTTGAGTCGGGACCAACTCATAGTGACCCCATGCCCAACAATGAAACACTGCCGGGTCCTGGGTCAGCCTCACAGTCATTGCTATGTTTGAGCCCACTGCTGCTCCCACTGTGCCAATCCATCTAGTTGGGGGTCTTCTTTTTCTCTGACCCTTCACTTTACCAAACAGGATGTCTGTCCTTCTCCAGGAGCTGATCCCTCGTGATACGTCCGAAGTATGAAAGACGAAGTCCGGCCATCCTGGCTCTCAGGGAGCACTCTGGCTGTATTTCTTCCAACACATATAGGTTTGTTCTTTAGGCAGTCCATGGTACTTTCAGTATTCTCTTCCAACACTCGAACTCAAATGCATCAATTCTTCGACCGTCTTCCTTAACTGTCCAGCTTTTACATGCATGCGAGGTTATTGAATATGCCGTGGCCTGGGTCAGGGTATGATTTCTACAACTCATTATTAAGTGTACCCTTTAGTCCTTCTGCGCCATGTCTGACAACTCTTCATAAAGCTCCGATCCCCCAAAATTTTCTTTCATGCTTTCTTCTAAAATGTTTGCAGTTCTCGTAATTATTATAGTTGATCGTTTGCCTTCACATCTGAGATGCTGTCTAGCTTTTGCTACTGGTATATTTTGGTGTTGATGGTTTTGCAGGAGGGGGCACTCCTTGAAAGGAGTCCCAAATAAATTGCCTGACTGCATTTTCCACTTAGGGAGAAAACAGGCTTTTCCGAACCTTGTAGGTTCTTACGTAGCTGCTCTCCTGGTTTGAAATGCTCAGCTTCATGATTGCTAGGCTCCATTTCGTTACCATTCAGTTTTGAGATAGAGTTGTCTAGCTACTTCCAACTCTTGAGAAGTATTGCATAGCTTAGTCTTCCAAGTTAGCAGCTTGGGATAGGGGCATGCTGGTGAAAGTGGATGTCAGGTGAGCGAGACACAGCGGCCATGGTTTTCTCCACTGAGATGAAGCTGAAGGGTGGATTCCAGATATGACCAGCTCATACCTAAAGGAACCCACCAGAACTGACAAGGATGTGACCAGTCTGGGCATTGATAGGGTAGGGTACATGTTCATCTCAACTAGAGATACTTTTCTTGGGATTAAGTAATCAAAGCCTTTGGTGGTTTTGAACACCAACATACTGGCTGACATTGCTGAGATGTTTTGGCTCTCATTATTTTGCACTGGATCCACGCATATAATACCCCTAAAAAAAAAACCCTGACAGTTTTGGCATCTTTGAGGGACTCAAATTGTGTATTTAAGAAAAAAAAATTTCTTTAGATGTTCTTTGAGTTTTAGGAACAAAAAGAAGTGTAAAGGAGCAAGATCAGTGTGGTAGGGTGGGTGGATGAAATAAGGGTTCCCAACAAAATCCTCATGGAGCAATCCTTGCCACCCTCAGATAAGCAGGTGCATTGTTGTGATAGAGAAATTCCTCAGTGCAGCTGTCTGCGCCTTTTTCTCACTATTGCAGTTTGCGGTTTCCTTAAAGCTGCTTCAGAATAGGCACTGTGGTTGTCCTTTGTCTTTTGAGAAAATCTATGAAAATGACCCCATGAGGATTCCAAAAACCAATTGCCATAAACACCTTAGCTGATCTCTCTGCCTGACATTATTCACCTTTGAGGTCTTGTTGATCTTCCGTAAAGTGCTGATCCATCTGGAAACTTCTTTTATGTGGGCAGCATTCCTGTAAACTTGTTGCAAAGCTTCAACGTGTTTGGAAACTGTCCACTTGAGTTTTAAAAATTGACCTCAAATTTTTTTTTTTTTTAATGGCACAAAAAGTGTTCTTTTTTTGAAAACACTCTAATGAAACTAAGGAGTTCTGGTGCTGTAGGATAAGCACTGGACTACTATCCACAGATCAGTGGTTCAAAGCCACCAGCTACTTAAACCCTAATACAGGATCACTGTGAGCTAGAAAGGACTCTACAACACTTTAACAACAACAGGACTAAGGTAAATGTATCATCACTGAAAGACTTGTTCGCAACCATCTACTGATCAAAGAGGGTTCCTTCCGGCCCCACCTGCCCACCATCTCTGATTCTGAGATCTGGGAAGGGACTGTCAACAAACACATGACAAAATTATTTCCAACACTCTTGGAAGTATTTTTTTTTTGACTGTCCAAATCAATTTATTTTACTTAATGTTCAAGTAGAGTCCTGGTGTGGTGCTGTGAATTAATGTGCTGCACTGCAGAGTTTGAACTGCAAGGTCAGCGGTTCAAGCTCATCAGTCGCTCCTTGGAAACCCTATACAGGGTTGCTATGGGTTGGAACCGACTTGACAACACTTAACAAGAGTGTGCAAATGAACTCAGTGTAGCACTGTAGGATCAGCACTGGACTGTGAATCACAAGGTTGGCAGTTCAAACCCACTAGCTGCTCCTTGGAAACCCTATACAGGGCTGCTATTGGGCCAACTGGCAGTTAACAACAATGTTCAAATGTAAATTTATGTGTTAATGTCCAAATTCTAATGTAAATTTTATTTCTTACCGCTTTTTGTAAATAAAAGTTTTTTTTTATAAATTTTCTTTTCCATATTGCTGTTAGTAATTTCAGAATAGCAGTACCACTAGTACAATGATATGCACCAATTAAACTTGATCATTTATGGGGAAAAAATGTTTGCAGTTTTACGTTTAAATATCTGATCTCTTTTGAATGAAATGGTGTGAGATTTAGGTGGGTTTTCTTCCCCTTCTGTTCAGTTCTAGCACTATTGAAAAGAGTATCCTGCTTCTGTTGAAATTTGCTTTTGCCCCTTTTTAAAGACTCATTCAGGCGTACTCATATTGGCCTGTTTCTGTTTTTTCTGTTCTGTCTGTCTAAAGCTCTGCCTGTAACATACTTTGTTGAATACAGTAGCTATCCAGTCCACCTTAAACTTGTGTGAAGTGGTTCTTCCTGTTTATTTAAAAATGGAGGCTGTTAGCCTAGTTTTTGACTACGTATCAATTTTTAAGTAAACTTGTCTATTGTTGTTATGTATCATTGAGTTAGTTCCCACTCATAGCAACCTTCATAGGGTTTCCAAGGAGCAGTCTGTGATTAGCAGTCCAGTGCTTATCTTACAACACCACACCAGAACTGCAGCATTGTTTATACACATAAAAAAACCTTCCTGGATATTTTTCTTTTCTAGTTTGGAGCCCTGGTGTGGCGTTGTAGGATAAGCACTGGACTGCTAATCACAGTTCAAGCCCATTGGCCACTCTTGGAAACCTATACAGACTTGCTATAAGTCAAAACAGACTCGACGGCACATACCAGCCACGTGACCATTTAGAGCTGTTCATTTCCCTTTAGTACTGTTGTAAATATTTTTCATTCAGCTAGATTTCTTTTCTTATTTTTTTAATTGTTTTTGATATTTTTTTTTCTTACCCATGGATTAATTTGGAGTACTTTCTGAAATCTTTGTTACTGATTTCTAGTTTGTTTATTCTTTTTCTTCATATTTTACATACACTTGTGATTTCAGCATTTTAAAATTTGTTGAGGTTTATTTTCTGAGGATATGAATATTGAATGTACCGTGCATGCTTGGTAGAATGTGCATTCCTCTGTTTTTGGATGACGTGTTCTATATATGTCTGTCAGATCCTATTGATTAATAGTGTTATTCAGATTAACCATGTTGTTGTTGTTGTTGTTGTTAGGTGCCTGCAAGTCAGTGGACAATAGAACGAAACACTGCGCAGTCCTGACCAACCTCATAGCCGCTGCTACACTTGAGCCCATTGATGTTGCCACTATGCCAATCTCTCTCTCTGGGCGTCTTCCTCTTTTTCTCTGACCCTCCACGAGATTGATAATATTGTTTAATTATTTACACATTGTATTGGGTCACCTCTCTGTGGAATGGGCACAAATGTGCAGCGCTTCCAATTGGTTGGCCAGATAGCTGTCTTTCAATTTGTTTACAAAGCGGAGTGCCTTTAGTACTGTACCAGTTTGTTGAAAGATTTAAATTCGTATTCTCCCAATTCCTGGAGGCGTGTTTCTCACCAATGGCTTCAGTGCAGCTTAAAATCCTTCCTTCAGTGTTATCGGTTCTTGATCAGATGCTACCTCTTAATGGTTGAACGTCACCCATTTCTTTGTGGTCCACTGACTGTGTATTCCTTCCATCTTTGTTTGGAGCTTTCTGCATCAGTCAGTATTTTTACTGTGGAGTCCTTCAGTATTTCAAGGTGAAGCCTCGAGTTACTTCAGCTTGAGAAGTACTGAGTGTGTCCTTCCCTTTTGGCTTTGTGACTCCAGTTCTTTCTACATTTCCTTATACTACATTACTTTGTCTTTTCTAGTTTTGTAATTTACAGAGAAAAGTCTTCAAGATGGATGCAGTGGGTGAGTTTGAGGGAGGTGTTTGTTGAAGAAGCTTGGTTCAGATTAAGAGAAAAAGAAGGGAAAACAGGAAAGAACCTCTACCAGAGAATTATTCAGAAAATGTACTTTCAGTGAATCTGGATTTTAATTTCTCTGGCTATCTATCCTTCCAGTCTCTATCTAGGACTCAAAACCTTCAAGGTCATTGTCAGTAAAACAACCCTAAGTAGCTAACATCCAGTGGCGACCTTAAGAATTTCTGTAATCCATCTCTGAGATGATCAGTAGAGCTCCTAAAATGACTGATTTCTTTTCCTCAACTCCTCAGTGTGGGGCTGGTCTCCATCGATTCCGTTATCCATCTACACGTATTTGTTCAATAATCTCACCACAAGGTCTACGGTTCTAACCAGCTGCCCCTTGGAAACGTTATGAGTCGGAACCGACTCGACGGCCCTTAACAACAGCAGCAAAGCCAGAACTTTCCCACTGCTCATTTGTAAGTGTAATTGTTCACATCATCCGGATATTGTGGGGTTCAGCCATGTCATGTATAGGTAGTTGATGACAAATCCGCTTCTCTGGTGCTTCCGCCAACGTCGGTGCCTTTACTATCCAATTATGGTACTGGGCCAAAATCCCTGGCGAAGACAGTCTGTGCGATCGGAAAGATTCTGCGCAGGGCTTTGGAATTCTTCCTTTAGTGGTATTTTGGCTACTCGCCTATCTGTATCTGGTAGAAGAGGAGATAACGCAGGAAGAAGGGCCGGGATGCACTTGTCAGGGTATCTGGATACTGTCCCTCCATCCTCAGTTTCCAAGGGAGGCACAAGGGCGGCTGCAGACTTGCCTGGTTTCTCCTACTCTGCCTACTGTCTGGAGGCGGGTCAGAGGCGGGACTCAGGGCATCCTGCCCACTGACGTGGAGAACACCCCGACGGCTGGGTGTGTGAAAACTACATTATCCACAAGGCTGTGCACCTTGGGCAGGTGCGGGGCCAAAGACAGTCTCAGGATGGTGGCAGACTTCCGGTCGCGATCGACTGCGTCATTAACCGTGGCCGTTGGTTTCCTTTGTGACGGAGAAAGGGTTGGGCGAATGACAGGCTCGCGCCCACGCGGCTGCGCAAGCCTGCACACCGCGGCGTCCTGGGTGTCAGTGTCTTTTCCGCGGCGCTGACGGAGACAGGCAGGGCTGGCATGGGGTCGGCTGCGCACGGTGCCCGGCCTCGCTCGCTCGCCCTCCTGTCCAGTCTCAGGGTGCCTCGGAGTCCCACGATGGCTGCGGCGCCGAGGGGCCGGGCGAAGGTCAGTCGAGAGTTTATTAGGAATCGCTCATGCTCCGCTGGGTCGGAGTGGGCTCCTGGACTGACCTGAAGCGGAGAAAAGCACCCGCAGGCCTGTAAAGTGTCGGGCTTCAGACAGATGCTCCATCAGTCGGTGAAAGATGATGTTTCCCCACGGATTCCATAATGCTTATTATGAATCCAACTGCCAGCATTACCGCCGTGCCCTGTCCACCCTGGCCTCTTCCAGTCTCCCCCAGACCCACCGACTAACTCAGCTAGCTGCCTTTCTGTCTCACTTTATTTCAGATAAAATGAACATTTCTATAATGTATGATAAAGTAAAAAAAAAAAAAAAACACTTTCTTGTTTTGATTCCAGTAATACCGGTGATTATGTCTTATGTAAATATGAGAGTTCCGGAATTCCATTTATATGACCGCATGCTCGCAGGAAGCGTCGGTAGCCACTTCTTGGTGGGAATCTCCCCTTTCAGCTATTCCATTTTGCACTCCCGGCGCAGCAGGTTAATGCGCTGGACTGCAAGGTCAGCGGTTCAAGCTCACCAGCCACTCCTCAGAAACCTATACAGGATCGCTATGGGTCGGAACCGACTCAACGGCACTTAACAACAACAAATGAAAGGCTGGACCTGTAATCAGCAGCTATACAGCCTTTCATTGCAGGGTTTTCTTTACAGCATTTTACTATCCTGAGGATTACCAAATTTGCAACCTTTGGTCAAATCTGCAGAGTCGAACAGATCTTGGCCAGCCCGTCTTGGCTCATGAAGTTCCCTCGGCCTCAGACCTTATCCCCAGATCTTTTCAGAACCTCCCCTTGCATTCTTCTGGCAGTTTCTCAGGTGTTGCCTCTACAGAGATGCCCTTTCCAATAAGTTTGAGTTCCTGGGCAGTGTAAGTGGGCTAGTCCAGTAACTGTTGATACAGCACTGTAGGGTAAGAACTAGACTGCTAACCTCAAGGTTGGCATTCAAACCCACCAGCTGGCCCTTGGAAGCCCTATATAGAGTTGCTATGAGTAACCTATAGGTTGTCATTTCAAACTTACCCAATAGCACCATGAAGAAACCAGTCAGGCTCAGTTCCTACCATTTTTGTTACCATGATTTATATTACTGTAGATTTTTCATCACCTTGATTCTCTGATTAATGTCCTGGTCTCTAATGACTCCCCATATTGGAAACCTTTCTCGCCTACACTGTTATATTCTGTCAAAAGCAGCATCCCAGCACTGAGTGAGTCTGTGCTGGCTGACAAAGGCCTGAGCCCTTGACTATTGACTCGTAGACTCATAGACTCTTGTCCCACTCAGCAGGCCCAAGAGCAACAGTGCTGTTTCCCTAATGACTTGCCAGGTGTCTGTGGCCTTTGAGGATGTGGCAGTGACCTTCACACGGAAGGAGTGGGGACAGCTGGATCTGGCTCAGAAGACTCTGTACTGGGAGGTGATGCTGGAGACCTGCAGGCTCTTTGTCTCACTGGGTAAACCCCTCACCTCTTCACCTTACAGGGGACCCACAGAAAGGCTACCCTCTCTGCCCTCTTACTTCAGGTCCATTGATCTCTAAATGGGGAAGAAATGTACTCTTTTATTAGGACTTGAGGGATGTGTTGGAAGGAAATGGGTTGTCTCACAGAACCCCAGGGCAGGGTTTCCAGCCAGTCCCCGTGGAAGAATAGTATAGAAACGGAGGAAGTGGGACCTGTGACCATCATGTCCTGGCTCCTGGGTCCGTTGTCTTGTGTTTTCTGTATGTCTGTTCCTGTCACTGGCTTTTCACACTGGCTTTTTCTGTCTTAGCGAGTATGTAGAAGGAATTGGCCACCTCAGCCCTTACTGCCTGAGATCCCCAGAGTCCTCAGTTTTTCTCTGCACATTTTTATGGTTTCTCTCTTTGTCTGCACAGTGGCGAGGTGCAGGCACAGAGAGAAAAACTACGCCTGAAGCTGTTCTTGAGGTAGGATATGACCACCTGCGTTTACACTTTCCTTGACCTTTCTCTGCCGTGTCCAGCACAGACCTGTCCAGCAGAGCTGAAAGTCTTTATTCCAAACTCCAGATAGGGATTTAACCTCCTAAGTTTAGTTGGGTCAAATGTTTCCCTAGCCCAGTTAGTAGGGCCATAGGTGATGGATGGTCTCCCCGAAGAGGGTGAGCCAGGGTGCTTTGCTATCAGGGTCACCAAGTGTTCTAGACAACACGATCTTGGTTTTGAGCTGCCTTTCTGCTTTGGGGCCTTCATGTCCTGCTGACCTCACACTGCTCATGATTGGTATGTGGCCTTTGTGCCCTGGGCTCCAGGTCACACGTCAGTTTGTTTGCTTGAATGGGAACAGCCTCTCAGGTCTGGTTCCCCCTTTGAAGCCCCAGACTATATTTATTTATTCTCATAAAAATTCCCATGTCCTCTCCTCCATGAACAGGGTGTCCGGTGCCCAAACCAGAGCTGATTGATGAGCTGGAACACAGGCAGGAGGAACGGACTTTGACGAAAGGCCAATCCCAAAGCACCTGTCCAGGTAGGTGACTGAGAACCTTGGGTCTCCTGAGGAAGCTTCCTGTCATTCCTTCTCTGGGGACGTAGGAGCCATGGTGTCCACTGACTTGCGCATCCTCTGTCTCTCCACCCCATCAGACTCTCCCATTCCTTGGGGATGTTTGAAGTGGGATCCAGCTCAGGCTCCCTGCTCTTCAGACTACTAACCCTCCTCTGTGTCCCTTGTCCTCTAGGACTAGGTCACTAAGTATAAGCAATCTGTCCTTCATCGACTATGTGTACAGCCTTCTTTGCTGGGTCTACAAAAGTCAGTGTTGTACTTCTAACCCTGGCTGGCTCATGGCAACTGTAGCTTTGTTAATTCTCTGTAACGCCTTGAAAAATCCGCAGGTACTGTTACCGTACGCTTACAAGTGCCCACTTATCACAACTGTTTCAGGCAAAGCCATGATGAGATCCTGGCAACAGGCTTCAGTTGTCCCCAACACATGCCACTCCATCTCCTGTTCATGGACGGTCTCACCACTTAGGAAGCCTCAAAGAAAGTGGTCTAAGGTCCTGGGCGTCCTCATCGTTGGGACTTTAATGCATACGCGTGGTTGGTTCTGATCAGTCCAGTCAGATAACATGCATGCATCGTATCTCCTCACTTGTTGAAATGAGTTCTCCAGGTGTGGGGCCTGTGCAGACTTGATTTGTCTGGCTATTTTAGAAAGAAAAATAACACCCTGATTGTCTGGGCTGTTTTCAAACATTAGATTCAGATTTGTCCGGCACTGAGCCGTCTCCTGGCACCCTGTCCCTTTGGGAATGTATTCGTTACTCACGCCGTTGTCGGTGCTCTGTAATGCCGTCCTCCTTACTCACGCCGTTGTCGGTGCTCTGTTGTTACTCACGGCGTTGTCGGTGCTCTGTAACGCTGCCCTCGCCCTCCTTACTGTTGAGATCCATTTGTGAGGATCCTCTGCTTCGCATGGGAGAAACCAGCCAAGGCCACAGCTGTCATCCTGATTGCCAAATCAGACCACGATGGTAATGATGGAGGGCACTAAACATTGACCCTCATGGTTGATGGTAGTCTGTGAGGCAGGTTTGTCAGGTGAGAAAACTGAGACCGTCCACCATGGCTGCACTGGCTGGGCGGGTGTGAGTTGACATGCTTAGGCTCTAGAGCCCACACTCTTCCTCTTCATCTGCAGCCTAGTCGGTCAGGCTGGCTCATACTGGAACGGTTCACCATTGGAGCCTGCTCCTTGCTCCTTCTCTGCTCTCCTGGAGCTTTGTTCTCATCTTACTCTGATTACCACATCAGCCTTAGCTTCATCAGTCCTGCCTTTGAAGGCTCCTCAAGGTTGTTACTTCATGCATGCTTACACCTTCAACTTCCGTGCATCCATGTTAATTCTGGCAGTATGTTATCTGACTATCCCATGATAAAAAGTGAAAACAAACTCATGTTGTTTTCTTGCTTGGTTTCTGCACCATACTGAGTCTGGTATGGGAACTGTCCCAACGTTCTCCTCATTGCAGTTCTTTAAAGCAGTATCTATTTCTTAGAAGAGCGGATGAAGCCATAAGGAATTTGAGTGGCTTACATTGTGCCTTTGTGGCATTAGTATGGAGTTCTCTGAGGATTTGTTGTCGGTGTTCAGTCGAGTTGGTTCCAACTCATAGCAACCCTGTATAGGGTTTCTGAGGAGCAGCTGGTAGGTTTGAACCGCCGACCTTGCAGCTAAAACCAACCTTGAAGTTGCATGCTTTCCCAATGGTGCCACATCAGGACTCCTCTTGAGACTTAGGCCTAGGTTTTCTTGTCCTCAGAGACCAAGGCCTTAGCCATAATGATCAAGTGGAGCCTGATTCACTTTTGTGGACCTCAGATAGCCAGCTGTAGATTAGTTATAAAGCTTCATTAATGACGGATTCACCCCGTGCTTCTATCAGTGACCTCAACTTAGTTTGTATTTGCTCGTTTCATTTTGACAATAATACATTGAATGACATCACTTATCCCAACGATGAGCACGTTATGTATAAAATACCCCCTGACTTATTTCTTTATTTTGATTTTTTGTGTCTTAGAACGTTACAATTTGTATATCTTATAGTTATG